ATGATAGAAAAAGATAGACGAGTTTAACCCAATACCGTACTCTCCTTGCAATTTACAGTTGCGCGAGCATCCGTATTTGTCATAAGTTTTGTAGCCGTCTTTGAGTCCCCAGCATTTACCACTGTAATCAACACCAAAGAATCCATGTTCCTGTGGTATGKTTTTGCACACGTCAAAGATGAATTTGTAGCTGAAAACAGGCAATTGTGCTAGACTTGACATTTTGTGAGCCCTTAGTCCAGCGTAGCATCCAAGCGGTTTCCACTCTAAAATATTTATATAAGTATCGAATCAAATTCGTCTAGGCAATACAGCCTATAGCAGATCTAGGGCAGTGTGGTTTGGATGGATTGAAGTCTCACCACATGGGGACCAGGCAATAAATCAAATATGAAGAAAAAATTATCGTTTTTTGTTTCTTGGAATTTTGAAAAAACAAACATTCCTTTTAACGTAGATTGTTGTCTTGCAATAATTTCTTGGTTGGGGGCAGGGTATTTCAACTCATTTATAAGAAAACACGTATCAGTTTCTGAATTAATGTGGCTTTATTTGTAATATTAAGAGTGAAAACTAACGCAATGAAGTTATGTATCATTTCGTCAACAGATTCTCTTGCGCAAAGAATAAACTAAAGAAAGCACGASAAAATGTCGTTCTTATAAATTTGCATTTTCTCCGAGTTGAGACTAACCCTGTATTCCCATGAGACCTAAGGTTCAAGCCTTCTAAGAATACAAATTTAGACTCAACGCGGGGAAAATGTAAATAGCTAGCGCTATTGTACTAACAACATTTTCTCGTGCTTTCTTTTGTGTTTGGTAAGTTCTTTGCGTAAAAGAATTTGTTGTTAAACAAAACAGCCGTTATTCGCTTTGAATTCGAAAATGGAGTATTGTCTGTTGACTGACGTCCTAGTCTATCCCACACCCTTGCCTGTCATATAACATCATAGYATTTTTCACTGCTCACAATTTTTAAAACTCACTTGCCGCTATGGCGCTGTAGATTGACAGTACTTGAATAAACACGCCAATTAGCTTCATCGTGGATTCCTATAAGTCGATATCAACCATTATTTTTAGATCAACGTTGAACAAGGAAGCTGTTCCACGACATATCAACTCACTGTTATCATTTGCCTCTAAGGTTTCAAGTGAC